TGGCCGCTCTCCACAGGTTTATGGGGGAGTTTTCTGCATGGCCATTCCCCTCCTGCTGCTGGGCTCAGTGCCTGCAATGGGGTAATGTCCAGCTCTGCTCAACCTCTCTCCCTGTGCAGACCCTGGCAGGCCCCAGAGCAGGGATGTCTGCAAAACACCACATATAATGCGGAGAGGGCTGGGTAGGCTGTCTCAAATAGAGGGAACTGGAGGACAGAGGACAAAGTGATGTCATGGAGATCATTAGGAGAAACTGTTCCTCACACCAAACACACCCTTGCCATGCTGTGTCTGCACAGTGAGTCCATTGGACAGCGTGGCTGAGCTGGCACAGGACAGGGCACTGCCAGGGGCATGAAGCAGCTGCCAGGGGGTGACCACCTGGAGCTGGTGGTTGCAAGAGAAGTCCAGAGGAAAGAGGAGAGCTTCAATTGCTGTGTTACAGCCTGAGGCTGAAGAAGAGAAATTCAGGGCTGCTGCTGAACAACAGTCATGCAATAAACAGGAGAGACCGATGGGGCTGAGGGACTCAATGCCTACGTTGCCTTAGTCTTTACTGAAAAGGTCCTTCAGGCCTCTATGCTCAATGAAGGGGTTCAAGGAGGAGGAGAGCACATAATGGCAAGAACCTCAGGAAATCTCAGAAGGAAAAATGCTGGTTTCTGCCCCTGCAGGGGACTCACCCTGGCAATGGAACAGGGGCCTGCCTGGCTTGGAGCAGCTCTGTGAAAAATGTCTGGGTAGTCAATGAGCTGGAGAGGAGGCAGCAGTATGCCCTGGCAGCAAGGGAGGCCACCAGCATCCTGGGCTGGACGACCAGGAGCATGGCCAGGAGATCAAGGGAAGGGATTCTCTGGAGTGCTCTATCCAGAGTTCAGAGTTCCAATTCAGGAATGATTCCAGCAAGCTGGAGTGGGTTTAGCGCTGGGCCCTCAGGACAGCCAGGGACCGGAGCACTTTGCTGGCTTGGGGGGGCTGAGGCAGCTGGATTTGTCCAGCCTCGAGAAGGGAAGACTGAGGGGGACCTCATCCCAGCCTGCCAGTACCCACGAGGAGGACATGGAGAATACAGAACCAGGCTCTTCACCATAGCACACAATGGGAGGACAAAAGACAATGTGAGGGTGTTGAAAGAGGAGAGGTTCAGCCAGGGCATGAGGAAAACTTTTTTCCCCATGAGCTCAGCCAAGTGCTGGCATGGGTCACCCAGAGACATTGGGTTTGTTTGTTTTTTTCCATTCTTAAATATGTTATCACAGAGAAGCTACCAGTGTGGCTGATTGATTGACTCAGCCTTGACCAGTGCTGGGTCCAGTATCTCTTTTTACAGAACCTGGACAGGTCTTACCTGGTTTTTAAATACCTCATGGGATGGTGACTTGACCACCTCCCCTGGACAGCCTGTTCCAGTGCCTGACAATACTTCTGGTGAATAATTTTTTGCTAATGTCCAACCTAAACCTGCCCTGGTGCAACTTGAGGCCATTTCCTCTCATAATCTCGCCTGTTACTTGGGAGAAGAGACCAAGACCAACCTCATTGCAACCCCTTTTCAGGATATTGTAGAGTATAAGGTCGCCACTCAGCCTCATGTCTCTATAGGAGTAGCTGGAAAGTATGTGAAGGGTAGTTTCAGAGATGATGGATCTTTTCTTGGCAGTGGGAAGAGACGGAAAACTTTTCAAAGTAAAACTCAGAAGGTTCAGACTTGAGGGGATGTATAAGAAGCCTGATTCACAGGGTATCCTTGTGGTGCAAGAGGTCACCCAGAGGGAGTCTGGATGAGACCACGGCTTTGTGTTTCAAGGAACAGCCAGTGCCAAGTGGAGGGCTAGGTGTCTACAGCCTGAAAGGAAAGAGGTGCAGGCATGGGACACTGTGGGGCAGCCTGCAGTCGAGATGGCCAAGTGCTCTGACAAGCCTGAAAGGCCACACAAGACCAAGGTCTTTGTCCCCTGGGATAGGACACTTGCATCTGCCACTGAAGCCTACCAGGAGAAACTGGATTTGGAGGCTTTGCTCTTGGATGCCTCCTCAGCCCTTCTTGGGACAAACCAGGACATGCTGTACAGTTTTCCTACACTGGGCATTGCTCACCCTCACATCCCACTGCCCCCAGCAAGAGCCCTGAGCCACGCAGGAGGGATGGGATCTGCCTTCCCAGGGCCTGCGGGTCAGGGCTTGGCCTTTCTGCTGCCTAAAACCAAACAAGGATTTGACAGCATTACAGCCTCTTGCATAGGGCCTTTGCCTGTCTACAATCATGGCCTCCAATGAGCTGCTCTAACGAGTCCCTGGTGAGGCTCTGTCAGTAATGGCCCTCACTGGGGCCCATTAATGCTTCAAGGTACTTTGAGTTTGGCTTCTGACTTGGACTTCCTCAGAGGTTTCTTCAATCATCTTGTCTCTGTGTCTGAGCTTCAAGGACTCAGCAATAAATACACCATCTAGAATATTTGATGCAATGGAACCTAATGTTATGGTGAGTTTAACCCCAAACACATTGAGGAAACACGTAGAAGAGGTTCCTAAAAACCAAATTCCTTGGACATGTTTTTTGAATCAACACTGGAGGAAGATCCCAGCTTTCAGGCACTGCACCAGGGAGATCCACGTTTATTGAAGAGCAGCTATCTGATAGGTAAAATGTGACACAGTGTTGTCGTTCAAGGCTCAGACATCAGAGGATTAAACCTTTATAGAATGAGTATACATCCAGAAAATTATATCTCACCAGCATTATCACAAGGAAATAAAAGAGACAGAATCACAGAATCACAGAATTGCAAGGGTTGGAAGGGACCTTGGGAGATCATCTAGTCCAACTCCCCTGCTAGAGCAGGCTCTCCTAGAGCAATCTACACAGGACTTCATCCAGGCAGGCTTTGAATATCTCCAGAGAAGGAGACTCCACAACCTCCCTGGGCAGCCTGTGACACGTAGACACGTGGCCTACGATAAACCTAGGGAAATGTGCAGAGGAGGGGAGGCAGGTTACTGTCAGTGAAACAGCACTCATTGGATCAGTTTCCATAGGGCATCCTTGAGCTCCTGGTTCCTCATGCTGTAGATGAGGGGGTTCACTACTGGAGGCACCACTGAGTACAGAACTGCCACCACCAGATCAACGGATGGGGAGGAAATGGAGGGAGGCTTGATGTGGTTAAACACTGCAGTGCTGAGGAACAGAGATACTACAGACAAATGAGGGAGGCACGTGGAAAAGGCTTTGTGCCGTCCCTGCTGAGAGGGGATCCTCAGCACAGCCCTGAAGATCTGCACATAGGACAGCACAATGAAAAGAAAACACATAAAGACAACAAGGACGCTAAACATAATAAGCCCAAGCTCCCTGAGGTAGGCATCTGAGCAGGAGAGCTTGAGGATCTGGGGGATTTCACAGAAGAACTGGTCCACAGCATTGCCTTGGCAGAGAGGGAGTGAAAATGTATTGGCAGTGTGCAGCACGGCATTGAGAAAGCCACTGCCCCAGGCAGCTGCTGCCATGTGGACAGAAGCTCTGCTGCCCAGGAGAGTCCAATAGTGTAGGGGGATGCATATGGCTACGTAGCGATCATAGGCCATGACAGTGAGAATGTAATACTCTGTTGAAATCAAAAATACAAACAGAAAGACTTGGGCAACACATCCCTTGTGTGAAATGGCCCTGGTGTCCCCCAGGGAATTGGCCATGGATTTGGGAACAGTGTTAGAGATGGATCCCAGGTCGAGGAGGGAGAGGTTGAGGAGGAAGAAGTACATGGGGGTGTGGAGGCGGTGGTCACAGGCTACGGCAGTGATGATGAGGCCGTTTCCCAGGAGGGCAGCCAGGTAGATGCCCAGGAAGAGCCCGAAGTGCAAGAGCTGCAGCTCCCGTGTGTCTGTGAATGCCAGGAGAAGGAACTGGGTGATGGAGCTGCTGTTGGACATTTTGGTCCTCTGGGGACTGGGATCTGTAAGAAGGAAATAAAGGAATTGAGAAAGTAGTGCTGATTTATTCGAGAAATACCTGTTCAGGATCTTATAGAAATGCCCCAAACCACCTTTCCCTTTTCAGGAAGACCTTTGATGAGCTCTGATTGGTGCTGGCTGAGGGTGACCCAGGGAGCAGGAGGCTCTGCTGTGGGCTCTGCATGATTCAGTCCTGACTTACAGCAGTTGGTAAAGAGGAACTTGGAGTGATCTCAGATTAAATCCATGCATGATATGAAAGAAATTCTCAGTCTTGTCACTCTCAGTTCACCTGACTGCAGAGCAGAGCTGTGGGGATTTTGTTTTGTGTCTTCTCTTCCACTGGCCCCACCACAGCTCAGGAGTGATTTTCATGCAGCAATCCCTGGCATTTCTGCTGCACTGCCAGGGAAATCTTGTGGGGCCTGAGAGGCAAAGGGACTGTCCCAGAGTGCAGAGGGAGGACAACTGCTCTGTCCATCAGCCCTGGGCTCAGCTGCCCTGTGCTGGCAGCTCGTTCAGCTGCAGGACCATAGCACTCGGGGGTTCCCCCCTAAAAGAAACAGGGTACTACTGAGAGCAGAGGAATCCAGTTTCCATGTGCAGATCTCCAAACGCCTCAGCCCATTGTACCTGAGGAGGATCTCAGTTGTGCCCACTGAACCAGGGACACCCAGGGCTCATGGCAGCTGCTCACCTACAGCCACCCAGCACCATTTCTGTGGCCTTCAGCACACAGGGATCTTCTCCAGGGGGCTCCTGCATAACATAGAGGCACCACCAGAGAGCTTTGCCCTCCAGGAGGGAAGCCTGCAGCCCAGCAGGACGTCCCAAGGAATGAGTACCGTCTCCTCCCTTTGTTACCTCCAAATGTCTTCCAGGTGATGTAGAAATCTAAGCAGCCCTGACCCATGCTGCACCCTCTGGAGAGCAGGAGGACCCTGCCCTGCCAGGCGTCCTTCTTTTCTCTGTCAATTTCTCCCCATATCGTCCTTGGGAGGTCCCTGGGAAGGCTGAGTTCTGCCCTGGATGGTGGCAGAGTCCTTGATGTGTTGCACAGACCCTTGTGGTGAAAGGCCCTTTCTTGGAAGGAAAGCCATGGGCACCCCTGGCTGCACACCTATGTTGAAAACCCTGGAGTGGCCCCCAGGAGAAAGCAGCCATCATGCCCTGTCCTTCTGACAGCGCAGCAGGGAGTCCCTGCTCTGCAGCACATTGTCCTCCTCTACAATGGGGAAACTGTGAGAGTCCTCCTGAAAGATCATATCTGCTGTGCGTTGTACCAGCCTTCGGAGATCCCTCCAGGAACACCAGCTACACTGCCCTTCACCCAGAAACTTACCGCATATAGGGCTGTGAAGATCTCTTCTCCTACTCCAGACTGCCTTTAACCTCTCTCTGCCTCACTCCTCTCCCCTCGGTGCCTGCAGGCAGTGCCCTCAGCCCTGCTGCGCTTTGCAGAGGAGCTGCTCCTGGGCAGAGCTGTCTCTCTGCAGCACTGCCCACTTGCCATGAACTCCCTCCCTCCCAGGAGCCCAGCCCAGCTCAGCAGCAGAGGACCAGCCCAAGGCAGCACTTGCTCTGCCCCCTTGGGTCTCCCTCCAGGTGTCCCTGGGGCTGCAGGGGAACCTACTGTGACACAGGCTGAAGTCATCCCTGATGTTCCCTCCTTCACCTGGGGAGAGACACTTCTTTCCAGCAGTGTCATTGCTCCTGTTAGAAAAATAGTTGGGCATGAGAGTCATGCAATCCTTACCAGTCTCTGGGAGAGGAGGGGCAGCACCCCAGGGAGCTGAGTGAGCAGGCCAATGTCACAGTGAAGCCACCCTCCATCACCCCTGAAAGGTCATGGAGGCTACAGGGACTCCCTGACAATGGGGGAAATGCACCAACGGGTTGCATGCACCTTTCCAAAATGCTCACAGGCTGTGCATAGGAGCGAAAGGCTGTGCCCCAGAGCGTGTTCCCTCGGATTCCATTTCTGGATGTCTGAAAGAGAAGGGGACTGGATTTACCCAGGGTCGCTTCTCTCTCACCATCCTTGTTGCTTTCTGTGATTAAAGGAGAGATTTTATGTACAGGGGAGACCAGCAGTTTTTCTTTTAACCTGGAAGACAGTGAGGTTTGCAACATCAGTCATAGCATATTCTTGTGAGGATATTATGGTCTCCCTGTGTGGATAAGTAGGTGGGTAAATGACCGGATGGATGGTTGGGCTCAGAGGGATATGGTCAAGAGTGGTACTCTGCCTGGAGGACTATAGCTAGCAGGGTCCTGCAGGGCTCTGTCCTGCCACCTGCCCTGTTTAATGTGATTTTAATGACATGTAGGAGATGAGATGACAGAGTTCTTTTTCAGAACATTTGTAAATGACACCATATTGAGGAGAGCAGACACTACACTGGAGGGCAGGCCTGCCATCCCAAAGGACAAAGAGATGCTGGAGTAATGGGCCACCCATGAAGATGTGACGCCCATCTACAAGGAAGGACAGAGGAAGGACCCAGGGAATTACAGACCTGTCAGCTTGACCTCGGTACCAGGGAAGGTTATGGAGCAGTTCATCCTGAGTGCAGTCACCAGGCATATGCAGGACAATCAGGGCATCAGGCCCAGCCAGCATGGGTTCATGAAAGGCAGTTCCTGCCTGACCAACCTGATTTCCTTCTATGACCAGGTGACCTGCCTAGTGGATGAAGGAAAGGCTGTGAATGTTGTCTACTTTAGCAAAGCCTTTGACACTGTCTCCCACAGCATTCTCCTAGAAAAGCTGGCAGCTTATAATTAATTTTTAAAACATTCATCTCACTTGTGCGCAATTCATATAAAAATGTCTTTAAACAGATTTCCTAATTATTTAACATAGATGCATTACTATTACCTTCCACTGAAATATCCTGAATAGCAAAGCGAAGGATGATAGTCCAGATCATACCCAGAGTCATTTTCACATTGCCGTCAACAATTTCTAAGGTGAAAAAAGAGAGAGTGGTAGTAGTATTTAGAATGTGTTTTCTGTTTTCTCTTATTTTAATAATAGATTTTTATAAATAATATATTTTGTATTTAATACATTTGTTATATTTCTACCATACTGGCTTGTATCAGGAATAGTGTGGCCAGCAGGAGCAGGGTAGCAATCGTGCTCCTGTACTTGGCACTGGTGAGGCTGCACCTCGAATATTGTGTGCAGTTTTTGCACACCCCACTACAGGAAAGACACTGAGGGGCTGGATCATTTCCAGAGGAGAGCAACAAAGCTGGTGAGGGGTGTAGAGCACAAGTCTGATGAGAAGCGGCTGAGAGAACTGGGTTTTTTTTAGTCTGGAGAAGAGGAGGCAGAGGGGAGACCTTATCGCCCTCTACAGCTACCTGAAAGGAGGCTGTAGCGAGGTGGGGGTCGGTCTCTTCTCCCAGGTAACAAGTGATAGAACAAGAGGAAATGGCCTCAAGCTGTGCCAGGAGAGGTTTAAATTGGACATTAGGAAAAAAATTTTCAATGAAAGGCTTGTCAAGCACTGGAAGGGGTTGCCCAGGGAAGGAGTCAAGTCCCTATCCCTGGAGGTATTTAAAAGACAGACAGATGAGGTGCTTAGGGACAGAGTTTAGTGGTGGGATGGCAGGTTTAGGTTAACGGTTTGGCTTGGTGATCTTAAAGGGCTTTTCCAACCTAAACAATTCTATGATTCTGTGGAAACCCCAGGATTGGGGATAACAAGGAAGCAACTCTGGAAAGAGGGTTTACGTGAGGGAATACCTAGAGAATTTATGGATGGGTTAGTCCTCTCAAACCTGCAATTATTAGTAAAAATGTGGAAAGTTCCGGATAAGACATTTAGGTGTGGAGAGGGGGTGGGCCTGACTGCTACTCCCTTCACTGGGCCAATCACTCTCTCCAATCCTTCTCCAAACACCGGGGTACTGAGGCCAAGCCGGGAAACCCATTTTGCCATCCCTATTGAGTGAGCCGGGGGACAGCTTGTGGACTTATCTAAGGTGGCTCACAATGTATCAGCAGGGAGACTTGATGCTTACGTTCCCTATAAGCCCCCCAAAACCACCAGTTACCTTTTTAGGAGACACTGGAGCACAAATCTCTGCTCTGCGCACTGATGTGGTGGCCTGCAATGGCATCATAATTGATAAAAAGAAAATATGGATTACCAATGTGTTTGGAAATTCTCTGACCCAAAACACAGCCACGGTGAAGTGTTGGTTGCTCGAGGAGGACAGACCCATTTGGGTAATCATGGCTATTGGTCTGAACCCAGTAAACCTTTTGGGAACTGATGTATTAAGAGGGAGATGGTGGGAGTTTCTTTTCTTTTCTTGCACAGAGAAAACTGATCCTCACCTATAAAGAGTGCCTACGTGATCAATACTTCAATGAATTTTGGTGTGGTAACACATGTTGGCCTTCAGCTTTTGCTTAATGGATTTGATTGTTGGTTTAATAGCAGCCTTAGTATTAATCTATCCTTTTTGCTATGGACAGTTCTCCCTTTCCTCCTCTCCACCAGGCAAGGAGAGAGGGGAAGGAGTGGAGACGATGATTCTCCAGACCTTGCATGGGAACTAACTGGGGGGTTCATTAGAGTCTGGAATAGAACCAATCAAGGAATATGTGTCACACTTCCTCAGTCAACTGAACAAGGCCTGTGAGAACTCTGAGAGGTTCAACAAGGCCAAGTGCAAGGTCCTGCACCTGGGTCAAGGCAATCCCCAATATCAGTACAGGCTGGGGGTGAAGGGATTGAGAGCAGCCCCGTGGAGAAGGACGTGGGGGTACTGGTGGATTAAAAGCTGGACATGAGCCAACAATGGGTGCTCACAACCCAGAAAGCCAAGTGTATCCTGGGCTGCATCAAAAGCAGCATGGCCAGCAGGGCAAGGGAAGGGATTCTGCCCCTCTGCTCAGGTCTGGAGAGTCCACCTCTAGAGTCCTCAGCACAGGACAGACACGGACCTGTTGGAATGGG